CAGTGAAGAGAGACAGTGATGTAGACAATGATGTAGACAATGATGTAGATAATGATGTAGACAATGATGTAGACAGTGAAGAGAGACAGTGATGTCAACAATGATGTAGACAATGATGTAGACAATGATGTAGACAGTGAAGAGAGACAGTGATGTAGACAATGATGTAGACAATGATGTAGATAATGATGTAGACAATGATGTAGACAATGATGTAGACAATGATGTAGACAATGATGTAGACAATGATGTAGATAATGAGGTAGACAAGGAGGGCAGAGAAACGATGTAGACAATGAGAGAGAATGATGCAGCCAATGAAGAAAAATGATGTAGACAATAAGTAGAAGCAGTGATGTGGAAAAGGAGATGAGGCAATGATGTAGACTATGATGTAGGGAATGATGTAGAAAAAGAGAGGCAAAGATGGAGACAACGATGTAAGGAATGATGTAGAAAAGGAGAGGCAAAGATGAAGACAATGATGTAGGGAATGATGTAGAAAAGGAGAGGCAAAGATGAAGACAATATGACAGTGATGTAGATAGTGATGTAGATAATGATGTAGACAGTGAAGAGAGAATGATGTAGACAATGATGTAGACAACGATGTAGAAAAGAAGAGGCAAAGATGGAGACAACGCTGTAGGGAATGACATAGACAATGGGAAACAATGATGTAGAAAATGAGGAGAGACAATGATGTAGATAATGATGTAGATAGTGATGTAGATAATGAGGAGAGACAACGATGTAATGAATTCTACAACGTTATACATATACTATGTATCAATATATCCAGTATCTACGTTATGTACTCTAATACTAACAATAACCCTAACCCTAGCGAGTACAACAAGACTAACCCTAATTATAACCTACTTTTACATCCCATACACCCACACCCTACAGTACAGAAAAAAAACATTCAACAAGTGCGGATGTTAAGTGCTGACGTTCACAAAGTGATTATGTTCGTCAGTGCATATGTTCATTTGTACGCATATTCACGAGTGGGGATGTTCATAAATGGGTATTTCATAACTTTGGTTGTTTGTAACTAGGTGATGACTCGCGAATACATTTCTCATTTCTTACCCTAGATATATCTATTCTACGCTTTTCTGTGGCAATTCTAAAGAACTAGGTGAAAGACAAAAAGCGAAATGCGCACACGGCGCAGTAGAAAGCAAGCAGAATTGCTACAGCACACAAGTATTGATACAGAGAAATTAGAAACTCGGAAGCTTTCTACGGCATTCGGCTAAGCAAATCCGCTTCTAATCTACGACATAGATTAACTAAACGCTAGGAAAGCAGGCCAAGCAATGCGAGGACAAGAACAGAACTAAAGAAGCATGCACCACAACTACTCACCCCTAAATGACCACAGAGAGTCAGAAAAAACATCTTGCTGTCTCAAGACGATACTTTTTTCAGCAGAAGTGGCAAATATCACGCAGAAAAGCAGTGGATGCATGCGACCAATGCGACTGTGCATACGACACCCGGGGAAATTGTGCTTAGAGCTCAACGATACAGGAAGCGTGAGGGGTGCGTGAGCGGATAAACACAGGACTTCCTATAGGATCTGTGTGGTGCACTGCGCTACATCTACTAAAGCAGACGGTTTCATGCACGTAGTTGGCATGCACACACACTACAGGTGCCTTACGCTTCGCAGGAACACGAATAAGGACAGAGGCTAGTGTCTCTGCTAAGCGTTGCCGACTGTACCCAATGGCATCTTTCACTCGTTTTTAATTGTTTGCGTAATCTACATGCGTGTCAGAATACGGGCAGGATTACACACACGCACCCACGCACGTACGCACGCACGCACGCACGCACGCACGCACGCACGCACACACGCACGCACACAAATACACCCCCACACACAAACACACACACAAAATACTCACACACACGCACACGCACACACACATACATTTTAATTTCCCGAGACAACAGCCAACAGCCCAAGGGGGAGGCGCGCACACACTCGGTTTATCGCGAGCTACGTCCAACGCTATGCAGCGGATACACGCTACAGATACGTGCGCACACACTGCACTCCCGCACGCACGCACGCGCGCACTGCGTGTCACGTGTGCAGAAATCTGAACCGCGTTCACTCTCAGCCAGAAACAATAAACCAACCCGGCAGTTGCCCGCCGATAGACAGACGTACGGGTGAACGGTAAGTGACCGGATAACTCTTGCCCCACGATCCAATCCAACTCTGCTTTTGTCGTGTTATACGGACACCATCCACAAAAGATAGATTCCAACGGGCCTGTCGTTGAGCCTATAGGTGCATTAAATAAATTCTGAGCGACAGACTGAGAAGGCCTCCCCCACACCAGGTAAACTCGTGCGATAGAGGAAAAATAAATAAGCACACACTAGCGGGGATTTCGTAGCGAAACACGTTCGCCACTCAGCATCCTTGAAGCATCTGTCACGGTAGACAACATCAGGTAGCGGAATTCCATCTCGCGTGGCGGTTACCGTATTCGCCCGTGTGCACGAAAGCTTTCCTAAAGAAATGCTTCCCTCGAAATCACCCGGCGTATTGTGTGCACCGCTTACACGCGAAAAAATACGGTATATTGTCCGTGTTAAGCCGATTAGGGCCCGTGGCACTTCCATGAAGCTGTCATATCTACGTGCGCGTGCGTGCGTATGTGTGTCTGTTTGCCAGTGCGTGAGGGGGGGGGGGGACTCTGTACTGGCAGGTAAATGTCGTTATGGAATCCAGCCTGGAATTGTTTTCGTCAATCAAACGTGATTGCGACGCGAGATGGACTTAGATTAAAGCGGTTTCCACGTTCACACGGATCCAATGTTTACACGTTTCCCTGCATTCTTGGTTTTGCCAACAGCATTATAACCGGCCTATCCAT